CCCAGACCCCAACTAAATAATATATTTTTTCCATCCAGGCCACTGGAGCCGGGCCAAAGCGGAGCCAGGATCCATCAATGTAAAATAAAAAATAGCCAAAACAATATAGGGAAACTGAAAAGGTTCATTCTTGAGGTGATTTTTAAGCGAGAAAAACCAAACATTCCACACCAGATCAGGATCTGTCAAGATTTCACACAAAGACAACTGAATGAAAGGAATTATATATATGTTCAATGCACAAGACAGACCCAACATCGACATGGAACATCGATTATTTATCCACTGTGAATCATACCTCATTATCATATGCCGCCCGGTGCAAGCACGCTGTGTGGCCCAACAGAGATTGAACGGCATCTGAAAGGCAAGGCCCATCAGCTAAAGCATGCGGTGGTTCAGCAGATAAAGGAGAACATTGAACAGTGGGACAATGTGGCTCGAGATACTACACAGTTAACACTGCCCACATACTACACAGTTAACACTGCCCACAATACTGAATGAACCAATCCCGGAACTACCCATTCAAGATGGCTACAGGTGCCAGCGGGATCCCCAGTGTCAGTATGTGGCAGGGAACATGAACACCATGCGCAAGCACTGGCAGAACAAGCACAGCTGGTCGCCATATCCCAGAGGGAGCCGACCAGCGACACTCCATCAGCCCAGACCCCATGGATGAGCAGATGACTGAGGAAGAAGAAGAGGAGGAGGAGAAGGGACAGAGAGATACCCAGCCAGAAGAAGAAGATAAGTTCAAATCAACCAAGATCCAGATGGCATGTTTGGATTTTTGAATTGAGCTGCTGAACCAGCGGGTTCAGGTGGAGGATTATGAGTGCGCGCTGGTAGACGCGTTGGCGGTGCTGGGACGGGGGGAGTATGGATGGTGCGACGCGAAGAGCTACCCACCAATATTGTCACGGATCAAGAAGAAGATAAGTTCAAATCAACCAAGATCCAGATGGCATGTTTGGATTTTTGAATTGAGCTGCTGGACCAGCGGGTTCAGGTGGAGGATTATGAGTGCGCGCTGGTAGACGCGTTGGCGGTGCTAGGACGGGGGGAGTATGGATGGCGCGACGCGGAGAGCTACCCACCAATATTGTCACGGATCATCAAGGTGGCACGGTTATGCCACACGGTGCTCAACGACCAGGTCAACTTCCGGCCCCAGATGCAACAGCTAGGCAGGCTGATGGCGGTCAAGACACAGATGGTGCTGCTGACGGCCACATTGCCACCAGATGAGGAGGAGAAGCTGTGGTCCCACATGCACTGCACCCGAGCGGACATATCATTGTTCCGGGCGCGGACATGCGGTCCAAATATGGCATACCGAGTGTGGCAACCCATCATTGAAGGGTCAGAGTACGATGGGCTCAACCGATGGTTTCAAGCACCCAGCGTGGTCAGGTTCATCCAGGACCGCATGAGATGGACGGGAGAAGGGAAGGGGGTGGTGTACTGCCAGACAGTGAATCAGGTCACGATGATGGCAAGCACATTGAGATGCGGGGCATATCACCACCACCAGATCAACAAGGCCGGCATACTGGAGTGTTTCCAGCAAGGTCAACACCAGGTCATCGTGGCGACAAGTGCACTGGGCATGGGAATCGACATCCCCAACATCTGCAGCATCATCCACGTCGGACGGCCGCGATCATTGCTGGATTATGGACAGGAGAGCGGGCGTGCAGGGTGTGATGGACAGGCCAGTGAAGCCATCATCATTGAGCCCCGAGGGTATCAGTGCAGCAATGATATGGTCAAGAAAGGATGCACCATCACTGCTGGACCAGAAGCTGGTTGATCGGTACATGCAGGCAGGGGGTGAGGAGGGTGATGAACCGATGGCTCGATGTCGACGGGTGGTGCTGGACCGGTACCTGGACGGGGAAGTGGAGGGTTACATGAGACGGCACTGCGGTGATCGACACACAGGGGAGTCCCAGTGTGACGGGTGCGATGCCGAGTGGGAGGCCAGGGAGGCCGTGTTCACCCCCAGCCCAGGTGGCACGCCCACGCCCACACCCAGTCCAGGCTACAGTTCAAGAGCAACAGCCAAGGATGACTCCAGCGAGGATGAAACCAGCCAGGAGTCAGAGATGGAGAGCCAGCAGGGTGAAACCCACATCAGATTCAACGGCACATGCAGTCCCAGAATGGCCAGAAGTGTGAGCAAGAGCACAGACGACAACATAAATGAAAGCATCACCAAGAATGAAGCTTCAACTTCAGGCGGGAGCAGCCCGGGTCAATGGAACAAGCAAGAGTCAAGTGAAATCAGTGAAGACACCAGGGGCATCCCATCAACAACCAGACAGACATTCCACAAGCAGGATGTCCGTCGAGGCCGGTTCATCATCACACACCAGCAGCGAGGGCAGAGGGCATTGATGGATGAGGAGGTTTTAGTGGAAGAGGCGCAGAGGTGGAAGGATCAGTGTTTGATATGTGCAAGTGGCAAGCGGGAGTTTGACCATGAGCTGTACCAGTGTCCCCACGAGGAGAGCCAGGAGGCAAAGAGATGGATGATGACAGTGCGGAGCAAGATCAAATACACACGGTATTCCGGGTGCTTCCGATGCGGGATGCCGCAGTCCATATGCAACAGCCGGAAGACACAGAGGCAGTGTCCGTACAGGGGATTTTTGATCCCGACAGTGGCAATGATGATGTATGGGTGTCATGCAGGGCAGATGAAGCAGGCGTGGAGACAGCGGCTGAGAGAGTTCAATGTGGATGCAGATGATCAGGAGGCGGTGATTGAATTTTTGAGACAGAAGGTTGAGGGGCAGGGCATGGAGCACAACCGGCTGGTGGAGATGGTTTGTTGGCTGCGAGGGATATATCAGGAGGCAGAGAGGGGGAAGATCGAGTCAGAGGGTACAGAGGTCAAGTGATATCATGGGTGAGGGGCACATCACGGGTGAGAGGCACCACAGGAGGATGAAAGATGTATATATATATAAAGGCAGGTGAAGCAAGAGACAGAGGGTAAAGGGATATAACATCAAGAGAAAGTAGATCAGGTTCAAAGGATCAGTTTCAAACAGTATCATCCCATATGATAATGGGTCAGGGTCAGGGTTACAAAGAGTGAGGGTAGAGGCTGGGGGGGAGGATGAGGTGGTCAGAGTCAGGGTTAGGGTTGAAAAAGAGTGAGGCTAGAGACAGGGGTGGGCTCTAGTACCACATTGACAGGCTAAGACCAACACCACAGATATAGAAACATCTACATATTTTAGTATGAGATGATAGAGCAGCCTCTGGGCATTAAACTGATATATTCCATATTCCCATAGCCCATGTAGTGGTGGAGATATTGTGGTTTAAACAATGGAGGGTTCTATGGGACGATAATACCGTATTAGGTTAGCGTATATTTTCTACAGCCGCGCTAACCCGTTACAGTATTATCGTCCCAAAGTCCCGGTCAGCGCAAGGAGTGGTTAGATGTGCATGAAATCATGCATGCTGGCTCTCTACCAAACATATTCAATGCTATTTAAGTTGCAGGTCAGTGGAATAGAAATTACGTTGTCAATCAAGGATGCAATTCTCTAGGGTTATTGCTAGGGTTGTTGCTAGGGTTAATGCTAGGGTTATTAGGGTTATTTCTAGGGTTATTATTAGGGTAGCTAGGTTTCTAACATCTTTTATCTCCTTATCTCTTTTAACTTCTCCAAAGGCTACAGTACCTTAAGCTTAATTAATAAGATGGCTATTGGTCAAGTAGCTTTGGAAGCAGTTATAAGCAAGATTAATTCTGAGTTCTATCTACCTCTATCGCAGGAGATCCCCAACGGTGCTCTAAATATATATATTTATCCCGATCGTGGATTATGCCGTGTTGGAAACCTTGCCCCCTTTGGATACGTTGGATATATCTGGCGGCCTTAGTATATATCCTCTATATATCCCCCTAACCACCTCACCGCAAAAAACCAAACACTATGATACCGACCGGCATCATAGG